AAATATGGCCATTAAGTTGTCCAGTGATGTATGAAAAACACATTATCTTTTGTAACTGTATTCCACGTTCACCCGAGACAAGAAAAAAAATCTGTCACATCATATGTAAATAAAAATTGACAATGGAACTAAAGAGAAGGTCGTCAACAGTTTTATTTTCGCCGAAAAGACCTTAATATCTCACGTACTCTTGCTTTTCTGAGTACGTATTTTGATAAACTGCTGAACGTACTTCCCGAAAAGCTGCAATAAACTGTTTTATATTATCTTGAACCGAAGGATAATCGATGGTAAGTGACTCAAACGACGCTGCATTGCAGCCGCAATACAGTTGAGGTAAGAAAAACTGACACGCACATTGATCTCATGAACTTTTCGCCTGTGAATTAGTGGTAACTTGTAGCTCGTACCACTTGTAAAGTGTGCCCAGAAGCAATAATTACACGGTAATAGTTGTAGCCCCTGAAATTACTCAAGTATTAGTTAATACACGGCTGTATTTCCTGCGCACGAGCCGTGAAAGTGGAACGAAGGATTCCAATATCTCAAAGCCCTGTACATATTTTTTACGAAACTTTTCTCCCAGAAACAGCTTGAGTTTTATACCTAGAATATCAGACCTAAGGCTTATTGGAGGGTGACTCTAGAGTGCAAATTTATTTGCGTACTTGCGTGATTGTTGGACAAAATCAGTAGTAGAACATTAGTGTTATACAAACAACAAATTAGTTATGTGGAAGTCGCAGTGATCATTAGTTGTAATCGACTGAGTTTAAAACGGAAAAACTATCGATCCATTATATTTTGATGTTTTTTTTGGTTGATTTGCTATGTTCTATTTCCTATCTTCGTTTCCATCAATTTTATTTGTGTTTTGGTCAGTAAAGAATACTGCTGTAACTGAAATAAGGTTCTCTACAACCATCTTGAATCATGTAGCTCGGAGAGGTGAAAAATGAGGGATTTCTCAACTGCGTGGTACGCTCTTACATCAGCGCTGTTATCAGTTGTTGTACAAACAAGTGCTGTTGTCAGCACGAACCAGAGGCAAGCCGTACAGCGAGAAATTGCAAAGACAGTTAAAGAAAAGCTTCGAGATACGTCAGATTCTTCTAAANTCAAGATCAAAGGATGGTGACATTGAAAATAACGTACTGAGGATTTATACGAAACGTTTAGTACTTTAGTTGAAGTATTGGCGTCAACTTATTTGAGCACCAAGCGCAAAGGAGAGGTACCAGGAGTCTGTTGAAGAACTTTATTTTTCCTCTCGAGACTCCGTATAAATTCTACTGATACAGCTTTAAGTAAGCGGTCTTGAATGTCCTATAAATGGGCATGTTTGGGTTTATGGGACAGCCGGCCATGGCAGATTCAACATATTTTTTAGAATGCTAACCAAAACAATCTTACAAGAAATTCGAAATGAACCAATCTCCGAGAAGTAAAACCTAAACAAAAGTTCTCATTGAGAATTCTAAGCAAGATCAAGGACGCACCCAAACGCGGCTAGCGATGGCCATTATCGCGCGAGAGTTGAGCCTTAATAAAACGGTCGAAAACATACCACACTAGAGGTAAAAATAAACATAACAAACCAAGGTTCACGAGACATGCACACTTACCCGGTCAACATTCCTTTTTTTAGTAGTTTCCCAACACTTCTAATTTCGCGGTTCATAGCGGAATTGCAATTTGTGAACTTAAAATAGGAGCTTGTACCATTCATCTCGCGAAAGGAGTTGATATCTATTTCTTCTTAAGCTACCTATAGTGTATAAAATGCGTGGAGCCTCATTGCATCAAAATTGCAGTTTTGATTAAATTGTCAATTTTTTTTTTATTTACATCGACAATAATGAGGAAAATAAATTGCAATTTGATTGTAGAATGAATTATTTGACTCAGTCTATTGAGTGTAACTTTAGATAATTTCAAGGTAGTCACACTCCGTTGTTCTATGACCGTCTAACAGCATTGTAAGAAAATACGTCATGTCTCATCATATTAATTATTATTATATGGTGTGTCTCACAAGGACTGGGAACTACCGAATTCACGGATTTGATTTGCTGAAATCAATATTGAAAGCGGTCTAGATTTTCCTATCTGGACCGGCATCCAGACCGATCTAGAAAAAAAAATTACATAGACTGTAATGTTCCGTTGTTTTCTTGACACAGCCATATGATAAACATCTTATTAACCGAGCTAGGTCGGTCTGTATGGGAGAATCTTGATCTCGGTCGCTGCTACAGACCTCACTGCGCTCGGTCTGTACTGGCGACCTTGGTCAAGATTCTCTCATACAGACCTCCCGCTCGGTTAATAAGAACTAAATATTAACATAGTTTCTGAAAGGTGACGTTTCAATCGTCAGAGCGGGAGAAGTAGTCATGGCGCGAGAACTAGCTCAAGGCTTTAAATTACAAATTGTTTAATTGAGTGGAAAGGTTGCATTTGATCGCAAACGTAATGGTGTCCTCTTGGAATTCTAGCGCAGGCTAATAATGTTGTTATGGCTTTTTCTATAACAAATCAGTCATGATTCGGTGGTCTTTACAAGGGCCTTACTCTATACCCTCTCAGTTAGTTTATCATATTCATACTTACTCTTAATTTTCTCAAAGTGAATTTGGTGGTTTTTCGTGAGAATCTGTGAGCTCAAGATGTGTGGCGCTGTTCCGCGACTTTGATATTTAACCATCTGCTTACACTACGATATATGAAATGTTTAAATGCCACTCCATATGTTTATGGATTAAGGATTCTCGATTGACTGGTTTTATTAATTGTTTTTATTGTGGTTTTGCGGTTTGTTTAAAGTCACTTTAAGCCATGTTTTCATCTTCCATCATTTGCATTTGTATACGACCATTTTGATTTTGATCAAGTAATTCTGGGAAGCAATTTAATTGTTTTAAATTGTTTCAAGTTTATTTTTGTATATCTCTGAAAACACAAAATGGCATTGATTTTCTATCAACGGAGAGATATGTTTAGAAATACATTTGATAATAAAAATTAACGGTAAAAAACTACGACGTTTCGAAGTCTGCATGACCTCATTATCACGAGTCGTAAGATCGAGGGAAAGCTCCAACTGGGAGCGGGCCGTTAAGTTGATTCGTAGTAAACCTGTGGCGATAAATCAGCTACGGTGAATATATAAGTTCCTGTACTGCATCAGTACAATATTTGAATTGACAAGTCCTGTATTCAGGCGATTTCAAAATGGATGTAATGAAGTGGTAACTGAGCCTCGTGTAACTGAGCCTCGTGTAACTGAGCCTCGTGTAACTGAGCCTCGTGTAACTGAGCCTCGTGTAACTGAGCCTCAAGAAGCTAGAGTTTCCCTCGGCTATCGCCTCGGGCAACTCTTACGCTTCTTTCGTGCTCTCCAAACTTCCCGCGTGCTCCATAACTCGATAGTGCACGCTAAAGCATGAACCAATTGTTAATTAGACACGGTAAATCTATCAGA